AAAAAACAACTGCAAAATCACCAAAAGTACGATGTTTCCCTAATTGGAGTAAGTGTATAAGAGCCATACCATCAAAAATATGTATTTTTTGGAATGGCGAAATTAAGTGGAACGAAGATGTTGCAAGTGAATTTTGATTACCATTGCTACGACTTTCTATTTCATTCATTGAAATTGGATTTCACTGATTTTTTTAAAAAACCTTCAGAGTCAGCTAGAGATTTCGGGTAATCTAGTAATTCAAAATTACCAAAGTATTCCGCTGTAAAACCTCTTTAATTCAGCAACATTATAATCTGTTGAAGGCCTGCAAGTTCTTTACAATTTTTTAATTTTTTGTCCTCCTTCTTTGCCTTTGATTTGTCTTCATACGAAAAGTTTTTTATTTTTACTTGCGAAAGAGTATCGAAAATACTTTTTTCTTTTTTTATTAATCGTTCATCTATAAAGTCTTGTAACGTTTTGTCTCCACATTCTTTTATCGACAATAAATACAAAGTAACTGTTTCAGAAGGAAATTTACCATTAGAAATATTATGCAATCCTTGAGAATCTTCATTACAAACGAAGATATTCTTTGACAATCGTAAAATAGTTTCGAATATTTGCTGTCTTTTTCACATATTCTTTGAACTTAACGAATTGATTATTTTATCTACGTCTTCATGATTTTTGTTCATTCTACTCTTACTCCATTCTTTGTGAGTAAATGAACTGATATCGTTCTCAAATGGATCATCATCCATTTTACAAAATGATAGTAGTGAATGATGCGTTGAATTTTTTATAGGATGTAATAACAACCATTTTTGTCAGGCAGTTTCACTTGTGGTTATGCCTACCCAACCTCCATAAATTGCCGATGATCTATTTTGTGTTTGCTCCAAAGCTAGATCTCCGCCAACTCCATTGAATTCATTACTATTTCTTTTAACTGATACCATACCCCTTTTTAATTCACTTTTAACTATATAAGGTAAATCCAGCATATCTTGTAAATACAACAATACTCCTCTTGCATATAGCGAATGATTCATTGAAAAAAAAAATGGTAACATTTGGAGAGTTGATGATAAATGTAATTCGAAATTGCCTGTTCGATCAGCCCGGATTGAATCTAAAAGAATTTGAACCATCTCGCAGTAGTTATCAAAGTATAAAAAAATTTTATTTTCTGTACGCTTAAGCTCCAAAAAATTTGTAAAATTGTGGAAAAAATCGTTTGCTTCTTTACAGTCACATAACTCTTGAAAAAGCTCACGTACGTTTTGTTACTTTTCAAATAAAACATAATTTTTTTGTAACCTTTTATTTAAAAAATAAGACGCAGATCCGCGTCCATTGGCATTTGGTGTGAAAATACAAAGTGTAATGCTAACGGCGCGGATCCGCGTCGTTTTGACATTTGCTCCCAAATGTCGCATATAATATCTAAAACATCTAAAATATCATATAAAATACCAACAAACAACTTTTATCACTGTTTGCTGAAACAAAGATTTTAGCACCTGGCAAATTGTTACTAATAGCTCTATAGCTTAATATAAGAAAATAAATACTCATATTTATCAACAGGAACACCAACGTACTGGCCAACGGACCCCAAAAAAAAAGACCTCTTAGATTTTTGCATCATAAAAGGAATATCTAACACCTTTATGGACATAGTTCCAAGTTATGACCTATCTTTAGATCATTCACCAATTATTGCAACAATTAGCACCTGCGTTATTAACAAACAACCTACTCCAAAACTGTATGGACCTAGAACAGATTGGAACCTTTACCGAAAAATACTGGATAAAAACATTAAACTAAATGTAAGACTAAGAAGCCCTTCAGAAATAGCAACAGCTACAAACAACCTTATGACATTATTGCAAAACGCTGCAAAAAGAGCGACACCGAACGATGCAGATAAAAATAAAATCGAGAATAGAATAAATATTTCACTAGAAATTAAAAAGCTCATTGTCGAAAAAACAAGAGCAAGAGCCAAATGGTAACAAAGTTGGAACCCAGCGGATAAAACGTTTTACAATCGCTAAACCAATAAATTAAAAACACAACTAAAAATTGCCAGAGAAGAGTCAGTCATAAAATATTTAACACAACTTAATAAATACGATCATTCAATATGGAAACCAATCAAATCATCCTTAAAACCTCAAGCAATATCGCCACCAATAAGAAAAACCACAGATACACAGAACCAATGGGCAAGAAGCGATAAAGAAGAATCAGAATTATTTGTTAAACATTTAGCAACAGTATTCCAACCACATAACAATGAAGAAGATCAAGAGATTATTTAAAATTTAAACTCAGAACAACCATCAGTAAATTCAATAAAATTAACATCACCCAAAGAACTTAAAAAAGAAATCTTAAGACTAAATATCAAAAAGTCACCAGGAATTGACCTAATAACACCAAAAATGCTAAAAGAATTACCAAACAAGGGTATAGTAATCCTTACATATATATTTAACGCAATATTAAGATGTAATTATTGGTCCAACAATCTAAAAATTGCAGAAATACTTTTATTCCCAAAACCAGGAAAGGATCTAAGTGAAGTCTCATCCTATCGACCTATCAGTCTGTTATCAACAATCTCCAAATTCCTACAAAAACTTTTAATAAAAAGAATAGATCCAGACCTTACAGGCGCAGATTGAATACCAAATTTTCAGTTTGAATTTCGACGAGAACACTCAACTATCCACCAATGCCACCGAATAACCCATAAAGACAATTCCGAATTAGAAGAAAAGAAATATATATTACCCAATGGTATCACTAGATGTACGTCATGCTCTTGATAAGGTTTGGCATAAAGGACTTCTTTATAAAATTAAACAAATATTACCACCATTATTTCGAACACTTACATCATACTTGGAAAACTGACAGTTTAGAACAAAAGTAAATGGAGAAATATCTAAAACGCATCCCATTAAGGCGGGAATTCCACAGGGCAGCGTCCTGGGACCTTTATTATATGTATTATATACGTCGGATCTACCAAGTCACAAACACATTAACATACCTACACAACAACTGCAAGACAATTTGTATGAGCTTCAAAATTGGCTAAAACAATAGAAAATAAAAATAAATGAAAACAAGTCAACCCACGTAACTTTCACTTTACGACAAGAAACACCACTACCAATATATATCAACAATGAGGAAATACCCAGGACTAAAACAACCAAATACCTAGGGCTACACCTGGACCAAACCCTGTGTTGGAAAGGACACATCACCAAAAAAAGAAAACGAATACAACTAAGACAAAAACAAATTAATTTGTTAATTGAAAAACACTCCAAGCTGTCAATAAATAATAAAATTCTAATTTATAAAACAGTTATCAAACCAATATGGACATATGGCATAGAGCTGTGGAGCTGTAGTAGTAAATCTAATATTTCTATTATATATATATATATATATATATATATATATATATATATATATATATATATATATATATATATATATATATCTATATATATCCGGTTTTTTAGGCGTTACGCCCGTCCGGTAGGGATCTATGGAGGAGTATCACCGAGCCGCAAGCCCTTATCTCTTGCCGTACTGCTCCACCATAGGCCGATCAGATCCCAGCATATTCTAGTCTAAGCCGCAGATTCATCTAGAATTTTAAACTGCTGCGTTAGACTTTTTTTTCTGTACACCGAGCTGGGGCTCGATCCCACATCCACTGAACCATTCGACAGTGAAGCGAATGAGAGGCAGCCGCACAGCCCGCTAAGCTATCTGACCGACTTATTATTTAAAGATGCCAATCACAAATCTTAAGAGCAATTGATGCACCCTGGTACGTAACCCACCAAAGAGTCTATGAGGATCTCAATATTTCAACAGTAAAAGAAGTATACCAACAAAAGAAATTACAATACATTCAAAAAGTGAACACACACTCAAATTCATTAATTTCCGCAATACCTCAATATCGAGTTATCAGAAGACTAAAGAGACGTTGGCCAACATACCAGTATCATGGACCCGTGATTCTCTTACTAGAGGGGACCAAATTTATACGTCCATGGGACCAAATCACACTAGAACCAAGGGACAGGAACTAAACTCATCACATTAACTTATAGAATACATTGTTTTATTCTGATTGTTAATTTATTAGTTATAATAAAAAAAAACTAATTAGTCATAATTTAAGTTAGCAAAGTCTTGCTCATTGGTCATATAGTTTGATCAGATTGTAGTGTTCTTAAGCATCTTATTGGTGTTTATTTAATAAAAACAGGAAAAAAATTGCTTTGAATAAACTATATTATTCAGTAGTTTCTAATTGGATATGCATATTTAGCTTTCAACTCTATAACTGCAGATTTGCTTCAGCTTCGTATTGTAACTACTTTGTTAAAGATAATCTTATTTTATATCCTATTAACCAATAAAGTTACCCAAGTCAGCACTCAAGTTGTTTACACTTTATGGGAACAAAAGGACTATAACTTTTTGATTGTAGAAGTTGAAGTTAGTGCTGGTGAATTGTTGGATTTTCTTTGATGTGACACTGGTTACTGGTTACGGTTAGGAGAATGTTTTTCTACGTAGTAGTTTAGTTTAAATAGGGTGTTGATAGAAAATACATATTTAACATGTGTCATTTAATATATCATTAAGTTTATTATATTGTAAATTATATTTTATAAATTTAGATATTTTAAACTTATATTACGTGAGATTATCTAATCAATATAAAATAATTAAGTGGCTTTGGATGGTCTGTAAAATAAAGCATGTCTATTTTTGTTTTTAGACACATTATTAAACCAATAGAGAAGTATTAAAAAATAATATGATGGTCAGTACATCCCTAAGTTAGGCATTACATACATGGGAAAGAAGACGAAAAATAAATTTTACCACAAACTTTGTAAACAATATTCAAAAGCTGAATAGGAATTAGTAAGAAAAAAATAAAATGTTTTGGATATACTTACTTGGGTTAACATATTGATTCTGACTACTTCCTTTCCTACTAGTAATATCAACTCATTACTTCTTCCTAGGTTATCATAAGATACAAGAACCGTAAAGTTCTTATCGATGAAATCGGTTGCTAGCAAATAGGTACATTTTCCACGAAACTCATAGTACTTTTTGTCAAATGTTACATAGTACTTGGATCCTACAATCATCGCATGACCTGAAATAAGCAAAGTTATATTATAGCAAGTCGATCGGATAGCTAAGCGGGCTGGGCGGCTGGCTTCTCCTTCGCTTCAATGCGAGAGATGTCAGTTCAATCCCCAGCTCGGTGTACAGAAAACAAAAACGCTAAACAGCAGTTTAAAATTCTAAATGAATCTGCGGCTTAGTCTAGAATACGCTGGTATCTGATCCTCTACACCTTCATAGATCCCTACCGGAAGGGTATTATATATACATATATATATATATATATATATATATATATATATATATATATATATATATATATATATATATATACTTATATACGGCTATTGCAGATGATACCCACCCCGGTATATTATACAGATTAGTAGTGGCCCGGCATCGCAACGTAAGAAGGGAGGTATATCCTCAAATATATGTTGGATTTTTCGAATCCCATCTATATACAAATCATTATGCCCATATGCTTGTTCGCAGCCCTGCGATGTTGCCAATTATTAAATGGGGTTATTATTGTTGTTTGCTTAGTAAGACATTTTTTGTTGAACACATTGATCTTTACTTTCGAAAACTTTTAAATAAATGTGTAGTGTGTACTTTCAAGTTTTCAACAATTGCTCATCATTATCTTTCTCGCTTCCTTATGCTTCTTTACCAAGCAAAAACCTATGGATCCAAACTATTTTCTGATAGTATAGATAAAAAGGAAGTAAAATAATTTGTCTTGTTAATATTTGTTAACTGAAAATATTAATATTTGTTCGCCCTTGCACAAACTTCAAAAATTAGAAATAAGTCAGTAATAATTGTTAAAATTTAATAGTTGTTAGCTATTAAACGTACTTAATATAGTAGGACTAGAAATGTGTAGTGTCATCTGACTGCCTATAGCCAAACAGAATAACTTAACTCTAACCCATTTTCAGAATTACATTTATAATTACGAGTACAAGAGAAAGTCATCTGCCAGAGAAAGACCAACAATTTGTCCCATTTGTTTTGGTGATGTAGTTACACATTTTACCAGACATTTGTTCAGACATCATTCTAATAATCAACATCATCATCATTTTGGCCTTACAACCCTGTGTGGGTCCTAGCCTCCCCAAGAATTCTCTTCCAGTCGTCCCTATCCATCGCCTTCCTCCGCCAAGCACGTATTTCCATATTTCTCATATCTTGGTCTATGTTATCTAGGAATCTTGTTTTGGGTCTTCCTCTTCTTCTTTGACCAATAGGTCTATCAAGGAACATTTTTCTTGCTCCATCCGCATTACATGCATATGCATATGCTAGGATTTACACAGATTTATTATATATTGAACAGGTAGTTGTGATTGGTGACGTACGTATTACTTTTTCCAGAACTAGATTAAATAGTATACACGAGAGTGGGTCTACCTGACGTAGCCCGTTATTTGTATTAAAAGGTTCAGAGAGTTCCCCCTGGATTCGTACTCTGCATTCAACTTTTTCAAGGGTTAGTTTAGTTAGACTTACCAACTGATTTGGTACTCCCAGGTCTGTCGTTGCTCTAAACAATTCTCTTCTATTTACAGAGTCGTAGGCTGCCTTGTAGTCTATAAATATGTGGTGCGTGTCTACACCGTATTCCAGTGTTTTCTCTAGAATTTGTCTCAGGGTTGAAATCTGATGAATTGTTGATTTACCACCTCTGAAACCAGTCTGGTATTGTCCTATTATTCGCTCTGCATACGGTACCATACGATGGCATAGTATATTGGAGATTATTTTATACGGTGCATTTAGGAGCGTAATTCCTCGATAGTTAGAGCATTCAAAGATGTCTCCCTTTTTGTGTATGGTGCAAAGTATTCTAATATTCCAGTCACTGGGAAGGGACTTCTGTATCCATATTTCTTTTATAAGCTGCTGTAGCGCTATTATGGTATCGTGGCCACCTTCCTTATATAATTCCGCTGGGAGATTATCTATTCCGGGTGATTTGTTTCTGACTAGTTTGTTTACAGCGTCTTTAAATTTCAGGATCGTTGGTGGATTCTCCTCCCTCTCGTCTGCTCCGCTTACCTTACAGCTTTCGTCTTACGGGTTTTCTTCTTCTTTCTTTATATTAAGTATCTGGTTAAAATATTCCGTCCATCGTTTAGTACGTCTGTTCTTGTCGTTAATAGATCGCCATTCAAACTTCTACTTTGATTTATGTTTGCCTTGAATTCTTTTCTGTTGATGTTAACTTTCTCTACTTTCTTTCTCTCCACTTGTTCTAGTCCGGCGGTTAGCCATTTTTGCATAAGCCTCATTTTTTTTCTGTGTTGCGTCTTTGCATTCATCGTCAAACTAGTAATTTTTTCGGGTACAAGTTTCTGTTCCTATTTCACCTTGTGCTGCAGACTCAACATCTTCCTTAATCGTGTTCCAGTAGGAGTCTGTATCTCCCTGGTCTTCTTCACTTGGACTTTGATTTCTTAACCTATTGGTAATATTTTCCCAGTACTGTTTTGCAGCAGTTGCATCTCTCAGCTTCTGTACATTCCATTTCTTTGTAACTATTTTTTTTCTTTGTTGGAATTTCGAATTTGAAATTCTAGCCCTTAGTGTTGAGATCACTAAACACTGATCTGAGTCTATATTTGCGCCTCTATAACTTCTGTAGTTCATTATGTCCGTGTCGTGTCTTGAATCTATTAAGATGTGATCAATCTGACTAGTTGTTCTTCCATCAGGGAAGGTCCAGGTTACCTTGTGTATATTCTTATGTTCAAAATAGGTGCTAGCGACGGTCATGTTCAGTACTGCTGCTAAGTTTATTAGTCGTTATCCGTTATCGCTACTGATGTTGTGTAGACTATACCTGCCTATAGTCGGCATAAAATCTCGCTCTCGTGCTATTCTTGCTATCATGTTACCTAGAACTATCCTTATTACTATTTAACTGGGAATAAGCCACAATTAAAGGTAAAAATACGTTTATTGACGTTTATTTTTTTTATTTGAATCGTCAATAAACGTATTTTTACCTTTAATTGTGGCTTATTCCCAGTTAAATAGTAACTAATTTAAAATGCCACAAGAAAATAGCTTCACAACATTATTTAGAACTATCTTGATCTCATTTCTGGGGCATCTGGGGCAATGATTGTCGATGGTGTCTGCTTTGAGAAAACAAGCATACTATCATTTGAAAACTGAAAAAATTTAACAAATCGTGTAAGAACTTCCAGTAACCCCGAAACGGAATTTTTTGCATGCACATATTGCCTAGGGCATTACTAAAAACGCTTTTATATAAACATGTAAAAGTTTGCAAACAAAAACCAATCGGTGAAACAAATCCTGGGAAAAGATGTTTAACTAAAAGCCAAGATTTTTTGGTGTCGATGATTTCTAAAAATCAAGATTTTTTGAAAGCAGCACGGCTAAAAGAAGAAGTATTTACCATTATGAGAGCAGATAATATAAGTTTAGTTGCAAAAAGCGACACACTTATTTGTTTATATGGTGAACACCTTTTGAACAAACACAAAAGACAACAAATCTCTACACACATATCTAATAAAATGAGGGAAATGGGAAGACTTTTAATAGCTCTTAAAACTATCGATAAATCCATTGTGGGACTTTTTAGTGCAATGAAACCAGAATGTTTCCAAAATCTTATAACTGCAACTAAGGAAATAAGTTCCTATGATCCTGTGGAGAAGTGCTACAAAGCTCCGTCATTAGCATTACATATGGGTACCAATTTAAAAATAATGTGTAATATTGCCCTAAAACTAGTAATTGAGAAGAAACAATTACCTAATATTACATGGGAAAATAGGAATAGAAAAAAAAGAAGAAATAAAAGATCTTGGAAAATTACTGCAGGGTCATTGGTGTAGTGAAGTTTCAAGCATAGCTTTAAAGGTGTTAAATAAACGCCAATAGGAAAAACCTGCAACTCTTCCATTAAGTGAAGACATATAAGCATTTCAAACTTACGTACATAGTTTGGCAAATGCTGCATATAATGAACTGTTAGATAACATCAACATTAACGTAAATTATAAGATATTAACAGAGTGCGTTTTAGCACTAACTGTTGCATTTAATAGAACACGTATTGGCAATGTATAATATCTCAAAATATCCACTTACAACAGAATTCTCGATATTAAAAATGAAAATGCTTTTCTTGAATCACTAACAACTGTTGAAAAAGTATTATGTCAACGATTTAAAGGGGTAGTAACTGGAGGCAAGAGTTCTAAATGTATAGTAATTTTATCTCCCCAAATTCAAAAATTCAAACATTAATGTTGAAAATTACAGAGCAAGCAAATGTTGTACCCACTTCTAATCCATACATATTTGCGAATCCTGGTTCGGCAAATAGATGGATGGCAGGATACCACGTAATTAGAAAATTAGCTGCAGCAACGAGACTATTAGGAGAATGGCCAACCAGAAACCGATAATGAACAAAATAGCAAAGAGACAAATGAACTGGTATGGGCATCTGATGAGGCAGCAATCCAATAGAATAGCAAGAAAAGTTTATGAAGCAAAGAACATCAGAAAAAGAAAAAGAGGCAGACCAAGAAAAAAATGGATACAGCAAGTAGTAGAGGCGGGAAAACTTAAACAAAAATCACTCGAGGAATTGAAAATAATGTCAGGAAACAGAAAACAATGGAAGAGGTGGGTAAATGGAAATTAAAATAGCTAGCCCAAATCCGATACCCTGATAGGGTAAAAGGAAGGGGAGAAAGAAAGAAAGTGCTTATAGAATACAAGGTGTTTTTAAAAAATTCCAATTTTCTTTCTTACACATAACAAATATTTTGCCCATATAATAATATGTTGGTATTTCATATAATTTTGCATAAATTAAATTATAAATACCATATTATAGAAGATAGGGGCAAAGTTTTGATCTACATAATTGCCTTTAAAAATTCTCACTGTTTATTTTATGACAGAAATAAATTACGAGTTCACGAAATTACATTTTCCCATTGTTGCCAAATGAGTGGGCTTCGCTTAACAGGCCAAATACTATGGCTCGCATCATTCGGAATTTATGAACACCTCTTATATATATAAAACAGCAGTGCCGCCTTACAGATTTATCGTAAACTAAATCTGTAAAACTTGAGATGTGTATAAGCCCATGAGAAGCCCTCAAAAAATTTTAAATGTCGATATATTTAAAAAAACCGAAGATGTGGTGCGACATGTCATAATGACGTATATTTAAGAGGGGTAGGGGAATCCACTGCTATCAGTTATGAGCTCATCAAGAGTACGGCTAAGCAAATATACACAGAAATCTTACGAAGCCTGACTTCGGCAGAACTCAGCAGATTTAGACTAGATAGTCGATAAAAAATTCCCACGCCAAGCCGAGAATACCGTGGTGAAGGCTGTAAGTCAATGAGGTGATAGTGTGGCAAGCAGTTCCTTTGGGGCAAAAGGTCACATCCCTAGTATTTAGACCTTACCCTCGCAAGCAGGGCTTTTTTATGTCTTTCCCTAACTAATCGTGGGACCAATATGGAATCTCAAAAAAAAACAAATATAGTAAAAACTCAGGACCAAAGGGTTCCCGATGCCGAAGTACCAGGGAACTCCAGAGCCAAAATCACAGTTCTTAAAGCCGAAGGGCAGGGAGCTTTTGGAGAAAGTGCTAACGCCGAAAGGCCCGGAATTTTTAAAGAAATATCTCAAGCTAAAAGGCAAGGAAACAAAAAGTCTCTTAGAGTAACAGCGTTGGAAGACGTTGATCTTATGACAGACGAAGAAATTGGGGCTGCAAAGCTATCTGGCGCCTCTACAGCCAAAATCAGTAGGCTGGTGAAACAGGGCCAAGATTACTTTCAAGCCAAAAGGGCTACAATCAATGCCAATATCATTAAGGCGGCTGAAAGGGCAAATCCATTAGACACCATGACAAAAGTAATACAAACCCAGAAGATCGACGGCCCAAAAAAGCTACGGTCAGACCGAAGCACACCACCCGAAAGCCAATGCAAAGGGAAAAGGCCAAGAACCGAAGGCGTGACTTTCAGCGAAGCTACCACTTGTGTTAAGGTTGTAGTGGTACTAGCAGGATTCCCGGAAGCTGAGATAGATGTAGGCAAGCTTAAGGCAGTCGAAATATCCATCTTGGGTGCGGATGACAAAATTCCGGAAGCAGGACCAGAGGTTCGCTTCCTGAGGAGTATATACATGCCGGGTTTTCTGAAACTTAACTGTGTGGACGACATAATTGCGCGGTGGCTAAAGGAGGTAATTCCAACCCTAAGGCCTTGGAAGAGTGCATCTTTTAGGGCTGTGGAGGAGGAGGATATACCTAAGCCGCACTTATGCACTGTCCTCGTACAGGACGAGCATGGGGAACATCTTAAGCCCAAAAGAATCCTTAATATATTGAGGATAAGTAACCATGGGCTCAGGACACATTTATGAACAGTCTGGGGTAGTAAACCTTTAAACAAAGGGATGTTATGGACCTTCTCGATAGATTTTGAATCTCGAGAAGAATTTCAGAAATTAAAAATGTTACTCTTTTTCGGAGTAGGATGGTTAACGTTCCGACCCAAAGAAGGAAAGACAAAAACACAGAATGAAAAGCCAGTAGCAACTCGTTCCAGTGAAACTGGAAACTTCCCTACTAATGGAGGTTCAGGACGAGGAACAACCTTCTTCGGGTGGAGCTGACAGTAGCAGGTTACAGTAAGCTGGATACCAGGGCACGAGGGTCATAAGGGTAATAAAAAAGCAGATGAAATAACCAAACAATTCTCATCAATTCCATTCATTGGACCGGAACCCTTCTGCGTTGCAAAGTCAGTAACAAGAATGGCTACAAGGAAGTGAGTACCTCACAAATCTCTGGAATGATGGATAAATTCATTAGGACAAAGACAGGGGAAACAGTTCATTACAGAACATTTGCCAAATTTACGGCAGACCTAATAAGCAGAAACAAGAAAATAGTCAAAGCCATAGTAGGTGTTCTAGCAGGGACTGTAAGCTGAACAGGCACTTGAAGCTAATGGTATTATCACATGATGGTCTGTGCAGATTCTGTCACCTCGAAGAAGAAACAGTAGCGCACACTTTATGCCAGTGTGACAGTCTGGCAAATGTGCAATTCTTTCCATTAGGAGAAGAAAATCCACCGGCAAATAGCTACCTAGAAGGTACATCTCAAAGCTACTAGATTTTATAAAAAGGGTCAGGCTAGAGAATGTTATCTAGGACTGGAGAACTACAATAGATCTGAAAAGATCGCAGTGGAATAGGAAAAAAGACCATCTCTCTAAATCTATCTATGATCTTATACAATTGAATTCAATGGCTACTTTATTGGAAATGAGCGTTTTCTATAAAAATCTCTTTAATGCAAAAAATAGGCATTTTACGAATAACCGTCAAATATTTGGGTATAGTAGACTATTGATTATTTACTTTACAGAAAATACAATATTAAAAGGTTTTGACTTACACAAGACCCTTGGACCGACCATTAGCCAACAGTCCTGGGAACAGCAACTCTGCGTTTTATAGCAGGTAATAAATTTAGCATTTTAACGCTGTCAGTTTTGTAGTCTATAGTGATCTTGTGATCTAGTGATGTAGTCTATAGTTTAACGCGGATTCAAACCCGGAAAACATCTGAAATCACATATAGCTCCCGCGGAAATTTCAAATCCAATATATATATATATATATATATATATATATATATATATATATATATTATATATATATATATATATATATATATATATATATATATATATATATATATAATAACAGTAATGCAGCAATGATTTAAGATATATGAGTCAGTAATATATGATTTAAGAAACTAGCTATTAATCCACAATGTATATTTCAGCTTTTGGGTGGGAAGTGACCTTGGTGTTTTTTTCGATTATCTCGGAAATCGCACACTAGCTAAATTTCTGATTATGCATTGATTCAATAATTTAGAAATTTTATCAATAAATGACAAAATTATATATTTTAGTACAAGCAAACTAACTAACTTACCTTTAAATGGTGGCAGCCAATCGTGAGGGTCGGTATATGGTTTATAATCGTAGTACAAGTTCCAAAATGACAGTTCAGTTTCTTCTAAGTAGGTCTGAATATCGAAAATCTTTTTTATTTCTGGAATTTCCTAAAAATATTCTTTACAGTTAAACCAAGAACAATTCTAATGTAGAGTTGCTTTTATATTAATTTATAAACTTTATATATAGTGTTTCAGTCAACTTAACCCATCAAAGACTGGCGTTGCCATATTGCAACTCAAAACACTGTTTAAAATATTAATTATTACACGAAAATGTGTGACAGAAAAATCGAGATGGCGCTGCTAGTTAGTACGTTACCGTTGTTAAGTTGGTTTTCTAATTAATGGTGTCACTAAAATCAAAATTAGTTTCGTAAATCAGTTATTTCTGACAGCGTTTGTGAAATTGTGACTTCAAGATGGTCGTCACATTTGTCTAAGTAAAATAATAATATTAAAATTCCTTAATTCGTTATTCCAAAATAACGTATTTAAAATACTTTACATTGAGAAACCAATTCTTTTAGTTTTTATTTGTCATATTATATCCTAAATATCAGATTGCCATATGGCAACTCTAGGACGCATTATTACCAGCTTTTGTAATATACTGTTTTTTTAGAAAGGGCTTCACACTTGAAAAGGCATTACAATTTTGGTACGATGATGACATAGAAGTGAACGAAATCTACATTGAGCCTCCAGAGGGTGATCTGACAGATGATGACTCTGGCGAGGAAGACAATGGTGGACTTGTCGATAACTTGTCAAGAGATCAATTTCATACACAGGCCGATTGTCCTTTCTAGCAAGAATGACACAGAAGAAGAACGAATGGGGATCAAAGATGGTCAGTTTGAGAAGATACATTTTAAAAGTTATAAATAAAATTGGATGAAATTGAAAGTGATGAAGAATATTTAAAAGTTGATTCGACAAAAGTAATTTGGATTTGTGGCGATATGGAAGCAACAAGCAAACCTTTTCCACAACCTACTTATGAAAACTTTAAAACTTTAACACCGACGGAAATGTTTCAGCAATTTTTTGACAATGACTTGTTAAAATTTTTGATAACGGAAACTGAAAGGTATGCAAAACAGAAAAATATTTTCGATCTCAACACCAGTATTGAAGAAATACGAGTTTTTCTTGTCATTCTAATTCTATTAGGTTACAATACTCTTTCTGGTAAAAAATTTATTTAGGACTCCTATGGAGATATGGGTAACATGTTGGTCAAAGTAGCTATGCAAAGAGACAGATTTCTGAGAATTTTCCGGTACTTCCATTGTGCGGATAATGACAATTTAAATCCTCGTAAAAAATTTGTAAAACTACGATCCCTTAATAAAATGTTACAGGATAAGTTTATGCAATATTATATTCCTGAACAAGAACTGTGCTCCGATGAATCTATTATAAAGTATTATCGAAAGTAATCATGCAAACAATTAATTCGGGGCAAACCTATAAGGTTTAGATATAAAGTCTGGAGTTTAACCACAAAATCTGGCTATTTAATAAATTTTATGCCATATAATTGAACTTATCCCAATATTAATCCTAAATATCACCCAATGTTTGGTAAAGCAGCTCCTCCTTTAATTGGCATGCTAAAAAATTTGCCCGAAAACAAAAATTGCGCTAATCCCTGTAATTTGACAATTTCTTTACAGGTTTCAGTTGACTTTGGCATCTAAAACAAATGGGATATGCTGATACAGGTACCATTAGAGAATATCGTCTTCCAAAAAATTGCCCTTTGATTTCAAAGGCCGAGATAAAAAAAAAAGAGAAGAGGTGAGTTGGATTCAGTGGTTAGACAGTAAAACGGGATAATATTAGTAAGGTGGGCAGATATCAGCATAGTGACCATCGCGTCAACCTCATATAAGGTCTCTCCTGTGAATAAATTAAAACGCTATTTCCAGGCCGATAAAAATAACGTACAGATAGGCAGACCTCAAGTTATTGCGAAGTAAAGTTCGCAGTTGAAAAAAAAATCAGGTCATACTATGACGTAGCTTCAGTTCAAGTAAGATATTGTGAAAACATTTGTCAAGGGTACAGAATCCTGCAAGGCGGGAGGTCGTTCAAGTTTAAGTATCTCCAGTAGATCGTTTAGAGCAGAGTTCCTGATGACGTGTGGTTTGACATAATAGGACATTTATTAACAAATAATCCTGATGGAAAAAAGAAGAGATGTGCAGCTGAAAACTGCAAATCCATCATGCGCATAATGTGTACTAAATGCAAGATTGGACTATAATATATGTAGTATAAGCGGTAACGTTAATTTTCAGACACAATTTTAATTTAAAATTTACTCTTGTAAATAATTAAAACAAATTCATATTTTTTGGCATGTGCCTATGTTTTGATCCTACAGGAGACTAGCGTTGCCATATGGCAACATACTGTTTTCAGAAATACAAATAAAATATATAATTAATAAATTTTTGTAAAATTATTCTAATTTAAAAAAAAATTAAACTCCGTCCTCAATGGGTTACAGATGACATGCTAGGCATCATCTTTCTTTTTATGAAAGGGTCAGTAGGTACTTCAACAAATTCAAATTCAAATTTTTAAATACTTAATTGCCAATTATAAATATCAAACCCTTTGTATATAAAAAAATTAGTTTCTGTATAATGTCTTCTAAAAACTCCGGTCCTTAATTAAATAAAGTTCTAAATATACCATTCTTTAAAAGCAATAGAACAAGTGTGAGCAAGTTTTATTATAAATAAAACAAATATATTAATTAAACTCCCCAAATTTGCATCCATTTACACAGACAAATTAACTATTATCCTCAAAGCATAATTCTTTTTATCGGGATCGGCTTTTCGTATTAGATTTTTCCAGAAATTTCTATTTTGGGTTATACCAATATTCATCTTCTTTACTGACATATTCTGTCTAAGCGTATCCATCAACTTTTATTTGATTGTCCTCTTCAACTCCTCCCAGAAACTTACAAATCAGCTATTTTACATATTAGGTTAGGTTAGGTTGATACTGAACATGTCCAAATTATTTTGAGCTATGCTCTCTTATGTTGGTACCAATTATTGCCATCCCTAGACTTCTCTTAATATACTCATGCTTAATCTTATTTTTGTTTACAGAAGCAAGTTAAAAAATAAAAATATCCGTTACGATTTTCAACCTCCGACGGGAGACTGAAGAAAAAAAATATTATCCTTTTTACGGCGCTGTAGTTTATGCATTGCTCTCCATTCGTCTGGAATTTGTCCTACTTACATAATTCTATTAATTAGTGCCTGAATTACCACATATGTTGCTAATCCAAGTGTACTACTTTTAAATTAGCATTACATTAACTTAGAATTAGTATAAAAGTATTAACTTTGTATGAATAAAATGGACAAAACTAGCAGTCTGTGTCTAACGATCTCCAGGAATATGAAGCATTAGTGATCATCTTATTTAGTGTTGTAAGAATGCGAGAGAAATAACTTATTTATGAAATTTAAATTAGTAAAAAAACTTATAGAGGACGTTAAAGACAAAAGCAATACCTTAAAAAAATACTGAAATATGAAAAAAAAAAATTCAACAAGACCAAAAAAACGTCCAAAATGAACTAAATATAAACAAAACACATCTGAATTATTCTCTTTCTAAAAAAGTTAGGGGCGAATCAAAAGAACCACGAAATTTTAGCAAATGTTCATAAAGCATACAGGAAGATACTATGAGTGGCAAATATGTCAGCAGTGTATCATTCAAGACTGTGTCATCAGAGAATGATGAAGCAAACAATGCTGAAAATGCCTAAAGCTTACAAAAGTATGACAAACATTTTGAAAATTCTTATGGTATAGGGCACAGAAAATTAATTTAGTGTAGTTAAAAACAAAAAAAAATGCAGATGAAGAAATAGCAGATACTGGCAAAATAAGGAAACAGAAAAAGATAATATGTTGTTGGTGTTGAAAAAAGATTTTGGTTATAGATTAATGAGTAAAACAAACAGCTGACAAAGATAAAGTGAAAAGTTATGAATATTAACCCAAAAACATTTTATTGTAAGCTTCTGTAGCTAAGGAAGAAGATATTTACAATCATAAACCTGGCGAGCTAAAGGTAAATGATAATGTCACACACGTCAAAGGTTATTTTTAATATAAAGGTTCCAACATCCCAGTTGCGGTGAATTCCACCGCCAAGGTAAAAACACACTCCAGCATATGATATATTTAAAAGGAGAGTAGAGTAGAACGGCAGTATAGAGAGTTATTTCAAAATTTCAACAAAATCGATGCCTATTGATGAATATTAACTTTGCCTGAATTTGTAAAGCATGAATTAAGTAGCTCTGTAACCGATGCAGTCAGTCCCAAGCCCGTATAAAAGAGGGAGAGGAGTAACACCTCTAAAAAAACCAGGGTTTAGCTGACCTGGCTAATAGCACCCTGTAAGAGTCCCTGCCTGGGTTTAGGTAAAAAACCGGTCCCAAAAGCAGAGGATGGCTGAAAAAGTCACAATAGTGGAGAGGGCGGAAGTACCAAGACCGTCTGATCCCAAATGAGCGGCGGAAGAAAAGGAGAAACGAAGGTTATGGCATTAGAAATTAGCAAACCTAACACTCACAAAAAGCTAAGAGTAAGAAGAACGAAAATCGCAAGATGAAAAAGCTAATGGAAATTTACATCTCTTCGAATCGGATACGGGGGGGGGCAATGTTGCGAAGAGTTCGATTAAACTCAGTCTTATTCAAAGCTCAACCAAAAATCAAAACGAAGAAAATATAGAACGTTAATATGTGCAACATAGAATATACAAGGATGGAACGAAAAGGCGACGGCAGTGATCAAGGAGTTTAGAGAAAGCAACATCGATATACTAGTAACAACAGAAACCAAAATGAAAGAAAATGGAACAAAAAAATAGAAGACGAGAAGACCATATCCACTGCTGGAGCAGAGTTAATAAATAATGTAGAGCAAAGGCAGGAGTGGGAATACTAATCAAAAATAAATGAAAGAACAGGGTTAGAACATGGGACCCAATCCACGAGAGAATAATTAAAATGCATATAGGCATATACGGTAAAGAGATAGTAATACTCG